AAGTAGGTGCTTTAGACCACTGAGCCATCTCTCCAGCCCCAAAAATTTAGTTGTTCTAAATTAATTATGAAAACTATGGTACAATATACAACTTTAAACATATAGAATTCTTTTTTTTGGAGGAACCGGGGATTGAACTCAGGTCCTTGCGTTTGCCAGGGAAGCCTTATTCTACTGCGCCATCTCCCCGGCCCCTAAGATCTCTTTAAAAAAGAAAAAGCCTTTTTTCATGAAAAACTCTTAAGAATATTATTGGATTAAAGGGTATGATTCATATCATTGAATTACTTTCCAAATTATTTACCAATTTACTTACCAATTTCCTCAGAACAATATATGAGCTACAAATTTCCCAGCAAAAAACAGTATTATTAATAAAAACACATGAGTTCAACCCCTGGTTCCACCAAAAAAACAAACAAACAAAAACCACATATGCCTGCCAGGTGAGACAGGAGGAATGCCTCCATGTTGCTGTAACTTACATTTACTTGATTAACATTAATAGATTATTTTCCATGTTTATGGATTAGTTCATCTTGTGTGACTTTTCTGTTCATATTTCTTCCAATTAATCAACTAGATCTTTTTTTTTATCATTTTACATGGATCTTCATACACTAAAAATGTTGGCCATTATGTTGCCTATCATTTGTTAACAGCAATTTTATTTTATTTTATTTATTTATTTTTTCTTGGGTCTTGTGTTTGGACAAGGTCTTGCTATGCAGCTCAGGCTGGTCCCGAATTCACGGTGATCCTCCCGCCTCAGCCTCCTGTAAGTGCTAACAGCAACCTTAATGGAAGAGCTTTAGAAAGAGAGTTGTCCATAGGCTTAATTCATAGGGTTTTTCCCCCTTTTTCTATTTTTTATTTTTGGTACTGGAGATTGGCTCAGGACCTTGTACTTGCCAGGCAGGTACTTAAGCCACTGAGCTATCTCCCTGGCCTTCATGGTTTTCTTTTTTTTGCATGTGGCCCCCTAGACACTTGGCCAGAAGGACTGGCTGCTGGGGTACTATTAAAATCCTCTTGACCCAGGTGTGGTAGAGCACATCTGCAAGCCCAGCACTGGGAGGCTGAGACAGAAGGAGCTGCGGAGCGAGCTGCAGGACAGCCTGAACTGCACAGAGAAATCTTGTCTCAAAAAGATGGGGGCCGGCGAGATAGCTCAGTAGAATAAGCACTTGCCTGGTAAGCGCAGGGTCCTGAGTTCAATCCCTGGTCCCGCAAAGAAAAAAAGATACAGAAAACGGCCAGCCAAATAGCTCAGCAGATTAAAGCACCTGTAAGCAGGCACAGGGGCCAGGGATTTAATCCCCAGGCCTGCCACACCGGCCCCGCCCCTGGGGTGTGCTGAGACAGCAACTGAGACTGGAGGCATGCACCTGCAATCCCAGCTGTTGGGAGGCTGTAAACAGGTGAATCACTATGAGTCCGATCTAGTAGTGAGACCCTGAACACTCTGTACACCCTTTCCTAAAATACAAAACAGAACAAGATACACAAAAGAATCTCATATAGAACATTATATAAATATATGTATTGTTATTATTGTTGTTTTGAGACAGAATCTTGCTATGAACGCAAACTCATGGCAACGTTCCTGCCTCAGCCTCCTAAGTGCTGGGATTATAGGTATGTGCCACCATGCCCTGCTATATATATATACAAATATTTTTTCCCCATTCCAAGTATACAGCTTTCTAACCTGCTACCAAAGGACAAAATTATGTCCTTGAAACTCCTAAGTCAAGGTCCCCAGAGCTGGATATTCTATACAGAAGTGTAGCCTCTGGCCTAAACTACTCAATAATACACTAGAACAAGTTTGCCCACCAGGGAAAGAAAAGCTAATCAGTAAGGTGGGTTTTTTTTTAAAATGACACAGTAGACATCAGGCGGCAGAATAACTCAGTATCTGAAAGAAAGTACTAGCTGCTGCTGTCCTCGTAACATTTCCAGGCTCACTTACTGTCTTCCTCTGTCGAGTGGGTTCCTTCAGAAATGTAGATTTCCAGCTGGAAGAAACACAACAGAAACAAGACATGAGAGCGCTGTGAGATGGAAGAGCGAGGCAAGCAGACAGCGGGCTCCAGAGTGCAGGGCTGAGAGTCCACGACCAGTTTCTCACGCCAAAGGCTTGGGGACAAACCTCTTACATTCTCACTAAAACTGAAATTGGACTGAAATTTGCAGTATTCAGAGCCCGGCATGGTGGTATCTGCCTGTAATTACAGTGCTCAGGAGGCTGAGGCAGGAGGGTCAAGACTGGCCCGGGCTATATAACCAGACCCTCCCCCCCCCAAAAGAGTGGTGTTCTGGTCAACTCAGGAAGGCCTGCAGGGGCCGTTTCTGTGACATACACAAACACAACTGTATACCAATGGGCTCCCACACATGCTGTTCTACTTGGGAAGATCCCTCCCTATACTCTACTTCATCTCAAATTAGTACCTAAACATCCTCCCACTCTACCCCAAGGAAAAAACCATTAGCAATCTTGGGTAGTTTCTTACATATTTTTCTCTAGATCCACATAATCTTACAGAAGTCTTACACTCACCCACAAACACCCCAGTGTTGTAAGTTTCTTTTCATTACTTGTTTTATAAAAATGGAATCACAGGTTGGGGAGATAGCTCAGCAGTCTAAGCACCTGCCTGGTAAGCGCAAGGACCTGGGTTCAATCCCCAGGACCACATGCCAGCGTCACACCGTGCGAGCCACTGAGATCAGGCATAGTGGGGCACACCTATAATCCCAGTGCTGGGGAGGCAGACCCTGTACCAAATAAATAAAGTTGTTGTTTTTTTTTTTTAATTTTAAAAATGGAATCGCATTATGCAGTCTCAGCACCCTCCTTTTCTCATCCTCTAGTGTGGTGCTAATTTCACTCTCATGCACAATATCAGTTACGGTGTCCCTCTGGGCCCTACTATGTCCCCATAAATTAGCTCACCGCCAAGACCCAGAGCCTCTGAGACAACTCATTCTGGGGCTAGACACCTGCTACGTGAATGAGACAGCACTACTGTCTAGAGAACCCCGGATGGAGCACACAAACTAAGTCTTATCTACTGATTTGCTACTGAAAAAAAAATGTATCCCATGAGTGAAAATAATCCTAGCCAACTAGAGTTAAAAGGGACCTTAGGAATCGCTAGTCCAATTGCTTTTACAAGACAAATTCTTCTAGCAGCAGAAATTCTTACTCTAGACCATGAAACCACAGGTAGAGAATCCCTGCACACGCAATGCCTTCGGTTAAGAGTCCTGCATGACTCATTACTCTGAAGAAAGACGAAGACAGGGGAAGAGGCCCATACCAGAGGAGCCACACGGCTGGCGGAGGAGCTGTCCCCAGGAATGGGACAAAATAAAACTGAAGGCCCCTTGACATGACGCAATGAGAACACATTTATGCACTATTCTTGCCAAAAGCGGAGAAGCAATCTAACCAGGAAACATGAGAGAACTGAATGTGAGAGAATGTACAACACAGCTGACCTACATTCTGCAAAAATAGCATCATGAAAGATGGAGGCCAAAACCCATCCAGATGGAAGAGGCCTAAGAGACAGCTAATGCTAATGTGTGGCGGGGGAGGGACAGACAAAGGGCTCCCCACGAAGGGTCCTACTGGAAAACGGGCACGCTGGGATATGTGTCCTGGTTAGATGACAAGTTTTTTTTTTTTTTTTTTTTTGTCATTTTGAGAGAGAGTTTCACTTAGTTCAGGCTGGCCTTGAACTCAGTTTGTAGCATAGGCTGGCCTTCAACTCCCAGGGATCCTCCTGCCTCAGCCCCAGAAGTGCTGGGATTATAGGTGCGCACCACCACACCCAGCCTAGACAGTATTGCATCACTGTTAAATCTTCTGGTTTTGAAAACTGTACTATAATAATGTAAGAGAATGTCCTTGCTTTTAGGAAGTAGGTTCTGCAATATATAAGAGTAAGGAAATATTATGTCTGTAGTCAAATAATTAAAATACACACACACACAGAGGGAGAGGACATTAATGGTAGAACAAAGGTGGCAAAAGTTAGCTATTAATAAATCTGGTTAAAGGAGTTTTTCTACTATTTTTCAACTTCTCTTCAAATTTGAAATCATTTCAAATTTCAATATTTTAATTAAAACGGTAAAATGCAAAATAGATTAAAATTTGCCAAGTACATAAGCCACTGGAATTAGCATTCATTCAATTATTCACTTTACCCAGGCGTGCTGGCTATGCCTGTAACCTCAGCACTCAGGAGGCTGAGGAAGGGGGACTGCCAGGAGGCCAAGGCGAGCCTGGGTTCACAGTGAGTTCAAGGCAGCCTGGAACACATATGTAAGAGAGACTCTGTCTCAAACACCACACCAAACAAACCAACAAACCAAACCTGTACTCACGTTAACACACTGAGCTCCCCCTCTGTGTACCATCACAGTGGAGAACGCAGAGGGGAGCACAATTACATGCTCTGACTTCAGGAAGGTGACGACCCAGGACAGAGAATGAAAAGCAAACTTAAATACCATAAACACATGTGAGCAAATGATGCTCTCTACATCAGAAAACAAAGAGTGGGGGAGCCAGGCCTGATGGCACATACTTGTAACCCCAACACTCCGGAGGCTGAGGTCGGAGGACTCTAAGTCCCATTTTAGAGACTTGAAGATTGTTTCACAATAAACCAAACATCAGGGCTGGAGACGCAGCAGAGGCACTGAGTTCAGTCCCCAGTACTGAGAGAAAAGTGCCAGGGCAGTTCAAGGAGAGAAACGATTTTTGCTATAGAAACCGAGTCTCACACCAAGAAGATACCATTCACTGGCACTTACTGGGATGGGTGGGGTTTAGGAATACAAACAGGGTGACTCCTGGTCTGAACAGAGGCTTGCTAGGGGCAAGGTGCCCAAGACAAACCTGCTCAAGAATTATGAGAGATAGCAAGAGATAAGACAGAGGCATTCAGGAGCTATAATCAATTACCATGAATTAACTGTGAATCTACATTCTTGCCTAGTAATTAGATAAAAACATTTTCCTTAAGCAATCTACCAAAAGCACATGTTTGTAAAAAAGATGGCCATACTCCCAAAACTGTTATACAGATTTAATGCAATCCCTATCAAAATACCACCAACATACCTCCCAGACCTAGAGAAATCATTCCTAAAATTTATTTGGAACCAGAAAAGACCTAGAATAGCAAAGGCAATCCTGGGCAACAAAGGCAAGGTAGGAGACATTACAATTACTGACTTGAATTTTTTTTTTTTTTTTTTTTTTCAGAACCGGGGATTGAACTCAGGCCCTTGAGCTTGCCAGGAAAGCACTTATTCCACTGAGCCATTTCCCTGGCCCCCTGACTTGAAATTATACTACAAAGCTACTGTGATAAAATCAGCATAGTATTGGCC